CTCTACTGAGTAGGGTCCACAACACCCATGAATCTTCAGATGCCTGCACATACTAATGCTCATACATGTTACACAATTTAATGTATGTTAGCATATGTAGACACGCACATGACATTATGTACAAGCACATCATTATATATGGGCTATAGAGGACACAGGTTGCTATACTGTAGATACATGTATGTGTGTATACATACGTGTGTTTACCACCGATGGGCAAATGCATATAAAAACCTTCCTATAAACATGAGTACTTGCAAATGTGCACATGCCCCATATCTGTGCAGCTGCATGCACAGATAGGTGTAGACTCTATAACTCCCACATTGTTCATCTACACAAAGGTACCCCTTAGCACACTACCCACACGTGCATGTGGAAGCATGATGCATGCACAGATACACCTTCAGATGCTCAGGCAAAAGATGACCGTCCAGCAGAGTGTGCACTGGGATGGAGGACTGGAGTTTCAAGGAGGGTTTGGTATGAGAGGAGTTGGAGTTATCCAGGAGGCAGGCATCTCTTTCTGACCTTCCAGGGGTCTGAAGCTTCAGAGATCGCTCCCTGTGGCTCCCCTCCAGGCTAGCAGAGCTGTGGGGAAGAAGGTAGAGACCCGTGTCCCCCCCTCCTGGGCACAGCCCTGGGGCCTGGCTAGAGATGAGACCTGGGGTCTCTGAGACCTGCCCACCTTGAAGCCTTCTGCTCCTGCACAGCCTCCCACACAGCTTCTCTCTCCCTCCTTATCACTCCTCTTGGCTCTGGAGCCCAGCAACCTGGCAGGAAAAGATAAATGTAAACCGTGCGTCCCCACCCCTATGGATCTCATAACAAGGCAACAGTTTCCAGGGACACAGGCTGGATTCAGGATTTGGGAGGAGGCCAGAGGATGGCATGTTTGCAGAGGTGGTGGGGTCCCATCCTGGGGTGTATTTCTCTGAGACCTGGCTAGCTGGTTTCCCGTGGGTAGCTTTAGCTATGACTGTAAGCAGTGGGATGTGGCTGGTTTCACACCTCTTCCCAGTTATGAGACCTGGTTTTCAGGTGTGCTGCCTGCTCAGCAAGTCAAAGGTTCCCTGGAGGGCAGGGCAGGGCCTGGCAGTTAATGGATTCTGGCGTGGCTCATGACCTTTCAACTGGAGGTCTTCTTGGTGGAGGGTCCTGGGGACCCCTAGTGAGATCAGCAGCTGCCTCTGACCCAGAGCAAAGGCCAATGTGACCTTGGAGGCAGGTTCTTTGTGGCCTTTGTAGGGGCCACACAACTCACAATTCCTCCCACAATTCTTCCCAATGCACCCTGTCTGTGACCCGCCTTAGTGAATGGCACCCTCCTGCCCCTAGATTCCCAATTCAGGATTTGGGAGTCACCCTTGCTTCTCTCCCTTCCCTCATCCTCCATACCCACCCATCCAGCAGTCCTACTGGTCCATGGGCTCTCTGATCAGTCCTCTCCTCCCAGGCTTTCAATAAACCAGTGTTTATTGAGCACTTACTAGAGCCAGCTGCCACACCAGGTGTGGCTCCAACAGATAGGGTGCCTGTTAATGTGTGCACGCCCATGCATGTGGGCCTGTGAGGTGGAAAGGGAGAAGGGCAGTACTGTGCAATGGGCAGGGCCATTCCTGCCTGGTGCAGGGGATGGAACCACACTACTTCTTATATCCTTGCCTACTCTGTAAGCCCTGTGTGGGTTCACTCAGGCCTGAGGTGTCTGAGGACCACATGGGATGGTCAGGGGAGAGGTCATGGAGGCAGGTGATGTACCGAGAGAGGATCAGGAGAGAGGCTGGGTGGAGGCAGAAAAGGGGGTCCTTGGCACGGAGGTGGCAAAGGCCTATGCATGTGGGGATGAGTGATGCCACCCAGGGAGGCTGTGTGGAGACCACTGCAGTTAGGGCATGAATGAGAGAGAGAAGTCACTCAGAAAGGACACTATGAAGAAAAAAGGCACAGCGGTGAGAAGCCACCTCCCAAGTCAGGAAAGTGAGGTCATGGAAAGAGCTTGGAGAAGGAGGAGGGAGTGGCCCTCAAGGGGGGGTCACTGGAGACCTCTGAGGAGCAATTCCAGGGGAGTGGAGCCTCCAGCCAACCTGGGAAGCAGGGAGCAGCTGCCCGGACTTGGCTGATTTGTCTGCTGCCCTGGGATGTATGCTCAGACTAGCACGCTGGAGAAAGAAAGACCTCAAATCTTGGGCCAGGACCCTGGGTTCCAGTCCTATCTTTGCATGTCTTGCTCTGTGGCCTTAAGTCAGTCCTGCTCTTCTTAGAGCCCCAGTTTCCCCATCTGAAGCCCGTGACTCTAACTTCCAGACTTTGCAGTTTAGGTCTGGCGAGGATTTGAAACGTGACTGACCAAGGGACTCAGTAAGGATCGTCACACATCCTGCTTCAAGCCTAGAACCCGAGTAGAGCACAGGATTAGCTGGCGACTGAGGGTCAGAGGCAGATGAGGGGGAGCTGGGGGGGCAGGGCCGCAAGTGCCAGAGCCCCCAGGCTTGGTGGGAGGTCGGCCTCTGCTGCTTGCTGACATCAGGGCTGGTGAATGTGGAGGGAGTTCAGGCTGGTTCATCATCCCACAGCTCCCTCATAGCCTGGCACTGGGCAGGACCTGAGCTGGAGTGGGGGGGGAGGGGGCCCTCGAGGGAGGGGTCTACGAGAGTCCCCTGGGCCTGAGAGCAGAGCCTGAAGTCTCACCCTGGTTGTCTTGGAGCCAGCTCATAGGAAGGAGGCTCTGGTCCTCAGTCCCATCCCCCTCCTCACCCCAGAACTGCCCTTTCCCTCCACCCCTCCTTTCTTTCCTCCCTTTCTGGCTCTTTGACCCTCTTCCTCACACTCTCGTCCATCTCTCCTTGCCTCCTAGGCTCACCTCCAGCTCCTGACTCAGTGGTCTGACTGCCCAGGGAAAGCCAAGAGGGATGGTTTGATTCTTATACCATCTGCCTTCCCAGAACCCACAGCGAGCCCCTCTTTGCTCTTGACAGTCCTGACTTCAGCTCCAGATGGAGCCCTGTCCTGCCCCAAGGAGTCCCTCCCAGATATTCTCAGGCTGGACCAGGGGGACCAGATAACTCACCTGAGGTTGGAGAGTGGGAATGGGTCCTGGGCAGTCAGTCTCTACTGTCGATTGCCTCTTCCTTCCCATGAGGTTGCTGCCCCCAAGCCTAGCCAGCCACCGTTTTCTTGGAGGATAGGTCAGAAGGCCTGACCCCTGTCCATGTCCCCACTGATGCTGCCGGCCCAGGTGCATGCTCAACCACTCGCCCCAGTGCCCACCAGCTGTGGGGCCAGGAAGAAAGCTGCCCAGTCCCAAGACTTCCCTACATGGCCCTTTCTTGTGTCCTGCCAAGGTAGGGACTGGGCTTTTCTGGCTGAGACCAGGGTCTTTGAACTCCAGACTCCTGTGCTCAAACCTGTGGGGGCTAAGAGTGTTGTCTGGGGCAGCAACTGCTGCAGCGTCTCACTGTCTCTATCAAAGATTCCACCCAGAGAAAGAATGCAGGAGTGGTTTGGCTCACCCTGTCCAGACGGCTACTTGGAACACACACATGTGTGTGCACACACATGCATGCCTTTTGGCACTCAACTTTCTCATGAAATAATTCCTGGACGGCTCCTTCGATTAGGTAACCCAGTGTTCCTTCCTGTCCTTATTGGGCGGGGGGAGGGTCAGTGCTCACCATCTTGGGGCAATGCTGGCCAATCCAGGAGGGTCCAGGGATCCAAACATCCTTGGAAGCAGAACTTGACATGAACAGGCCTTTCAGACATCTTGTTCCTATGGGTCATCAGGCTGATCCTGCCCAGCTACTGCGTGGGCTTTCTTCCAGCTGGGTGAGGTTCCCAAGGAGAAGACTCATCAGAAAAAGTTTTTTTTTTTTTTTTCTTTTTTCACAGAGAAGGTGAATGGTGTTCCCACTTTTTAAAAAAATCAGTTTGACAATATACAAGTAAACTTACATTGTCTTTGCCAACATCCCGTCACCCTCAAGCAACAATTGTTTCCATTCTTCCCCTTTCTTGTGATTGTAGTGGAGGTGGTTTGAAAAGGGGATATACGGGGTACAGAGGTGAAAGGAGCATTGAGAGGTAATGCAGGTGGGAACCCTGGCCTGTGGGTAGAGACCACTGACTGAGACCCTGATGGGGGAAGGAGGTGATTAGTTCCAAGTCGTCCACCTAGGAGTTGGAGATTCAGCCCCAGTCACACTCTTCCCTCTCCCTGTGCTCTCCGCACCCTCCCACCCCATTAACAGGTACCTCCTGGTGAACTTGGAGCATCTCCTCAGCTCTGACCCTAAGGGCGCAAAGCTCTTGCTGCACATAAAGGGAATGGGAGAGGAGAGCGCATAATTGCAGGGACAAGTAGGGCATCGCATCACCTGTCTCCTTCTCGCTTAAGTTTTTTGATACGTGCAAGAAGTTCCAGGCAAGAGCCCGGTAGATAAGTATGTGGATAGGGCAGCCGTGCCCACAGTGTACGGAGGGCAGTGATGGGAACAGGGTAAGAGTAGGAACTGCTGCTGCTTCAGCATCTAAGTCTCCTTGAACAGTGGGGGAGACCAGAGCCCTGCAGGTGGAGCCCTGACGGAATGCATAACACGAGGAGGAGTCTCCAAAGGCTACTGGGGGGTCGGGGCCTTCTTCTGATGATCCTGTAGCCTCTCCCCAGATCGCATGCTGCTCCTCCACCCTGAGGAGACTCGGCACGTCCCCCGCGACTCCACACCCGGGTCTTCAGGGACCTCCCACTCCGCCGGTCTCCAGGGGCGGGGTGTCCCAGAGCGGGTTGAGTGAGCTTGGCCACGCCCCTGACGCCCCGCCCCCTGCGCAGCGCCCAGTCCTGGGGCTCGCGGGCCCGCCCCTCCTTCCTCCCGCACCTCCGGCCGCCTTTCGGGCAAACTCAGCCTCGGCAGCCAGTCGCGGCACCGAGCTGCGGCGTTCGGATCCTCTTATCCTCCGGGTCCCCCCCCCTCCACCCCTAGACCTGTGCGCCCTGCTCAGCCATGGAGCGGGCCCCCGAGGCAGAGGAGGCGCGCACCGTGCGCGAGGCGCTGGGCCGCTACGAGGCGGCGCTGGAGGACGCGGTGCGCGCTCTGCATGAGGACATGCAGGGGCTGCAGCGCGGCGTGGAGCGGCGTGTGGCAGAGGCGCTGCGCCTAGCCGGCCCCCTGGCGCGCACCGTAGCCGATCTGCAGCGCGATAACCAGCGGCTGCAGGCGCAGCTGGAGCGTTTGACGCGCCAGGTGGAGGCGCTGGGCCTGGCGACGGGGCTGTCCCCCACGACCGGCACGCCCAGTCCCCCGCCTGCGCCCAGGGTCCCAGATCGCGCTCCCCGCCTGGGCACCGCACGCTTCGCCAGCCACGCCACTTTCTCGCTGTCCGGCCGCAGCCAGGTGAGTCAGGGAGCGCGGCGCACTTGCGTGTGCGCATGTGCACGGGTGCGGGGTTGGTGAGGCTTAGCGCTTTGGTGCCGCCCCCCACTGCCACCCCATCCCTCCCCTCGCCCCTCTCCCCACCTCGCCTCTCCCCTCGTCCCCTCCCCCTTCCCTCGACCCTCCCCCTTTGCCTCCTTCTTCGCCCCTCCCCCAGAGTGAGTGCTCTGGCCAACGTCTCTGGGCTTGATGAGGGTTTGGGCAACCTCTCTGGAGTTAAGAGAGGGCCTACCAGCTGCACCTGCTTTTGTTCCCCTCCTGTCTTTGGGGCCAGATCTTGTTTGCCCCAAGTTCTGTCCCTCTCTCTGATTCCCTTGACACTAAGGACTTGGGCACTGAGGCGCAACCCCTGGACCTGTCAGCACAGCCTGAGCCTGGCTGGGGTGTTGGAAAGGTCAGGACTACCCTCTGACCTCCACTCACTCGCCCTCACCCCACCAAGTTGCGGCTTCACTGAGGCGTGACGGCTCCAGTTGTTGATTAACCCACAGAGAAAACTCGACCCCCATCCCCCCCGTGTGTGTATGTGTGTGTACCTATGTGTGCAGCAGGCACGATCAGGTGGGGGCACAGCTCCAGTGGCTTCTGAGAACCCCACATGGCAGGGGGCAAACCCCTTACAGGGAAGGGAGAGCGAATATGGCCTTGAGCAGTCTCTGGATTTCTGGGGTCAGTGACTAGCCAAAGAGAGGCCCTCGCTGGGTGGGGGTGGGGCAGAGGCCAGAGGGGGCCAGTCACTACCCTGAGCATGGGCCTCCCGGAGTGACAGGTCCAGGTTAGCAAATTTCCATGGTGTGTGCAGTAGCCCTTGGGTGGGATTTTCCACCTGGCCAGGCCTTGTGCTTGTGGTTAGGTGTGTAGGGTATGTTCTGAGCAGCCTGCAGGTGCTGTCTCTCCTAGATTCAGTCCATCACGCACACAGATCCCCTGGGCTGCACCTCCCTGGCCAGGAGGAGGGGGATCAGCTTAAGCCTTGGCCCTGGAGGCTCCAGCCCGGGTGTGAGATGAACCCAATTGAGTAGTCCTAACGGTGTGGGGAGCTGCTGCTGTAGAACACTGCTAGAGCAGCACTTTACGAACCTGACTCCCTTGGTGGGTGTCCGAGGAAAACCTTGTGCTGGAGTTCAGGACTTGGTGCTGCAGGTGGAGATTGGGGTGGAGTGGGGCTGTGCATGTAGCCTCAGAAACCCCTGAAGTCTAGAACCCTAAAAGTTTTCATTGGGCAGAGTGGAACCTCATGGGGATAAGAGCAGAAGGTGAGTTGTGAAGACCCCTGAATGCTGGGCAGAGGAGTTGGGCTTTGTCCTGGTGGCAGAGCCCCTGGGTGTTCCAGTGCTCTGTGTGAAGTGTCTGGAAATCGGGATACACTGAATCTTGCCCTGTGAGCAGACACACTGCCTGTCCACATGCAGAATCACAGGGAGCCCACATGTGCTCAGTCAACTCATTGGTTGTTTCTGAGCTTTAGTTTAACACATAGGGTTGCCAGGAGTTGGGGCTGGCTTGTTGTTGTTGTTGTTAAGTGCCGTGGAATCGTTTCCGACTCATAGCGACCCCATGCACAGCAGAACGAAACACTGCCCAATCCCGCGCCAGCCCCACAATCCCTGCTATACTCGAGCCCTTCATTGCAGCCACCATATCAATCCATCTCATTGAAGGCCTCCCCCTCTTTCGTCGACCCTCCACCCTACCAAGCATGACATCCTTCTCCAGGGAATGGTCCCTTCTTACAACATGACCAAAATAGGTGAGACGAAGTCTGGCCATTCTTGCTTCCAAGGAGCATTCTGGCTGCACTTCCTCCAGGACAGATCTGTTAGTTCTTTTAGCAGTCCACGGTACTTTCAGCATTCTTCGCCAGCACCACAACTCAAAAGCATCAACTCTTCTTCGGTCTTCCTTATTCATTGTCCAGCTCTCACATGCATGCAAGGTGATTGGAAATATCATGGCTTGTGTCATGGGGCTGGCTAGAGGACAGCTAACAGCAATAACAGTTTAACGCTCATTTGCTATTTGTCTGCTCATGGAAGCAGCTGCCCAGGTTTTCGGAAAAATCGCCTCAGGGTCATACATAGTATAAAAACCAAACCAAACTCACTGCCGTGGAGGTGATTCTGACTCGTAGCGACCCCCGCTGGGTTTCTGAGGCAGTAAATCTTTACAAAAGTAGATTGCCCCATCTTCCCTCCTCGCAGCAGCTGGTGGGATTAAATCGCCAACCTTCTGGTTAGCAGTGAAATGCCTTAGGCACTGTGCCACCGGAGATTATATATATGTATACATATATCTAAAATCCCAAACCAAACCTGTTGTCATCCAGTTGATTCAGACTTATAGTGATCCGGTAGGATAGGGCAGAACTGCTCCATAGGGTTTGTGAGGCTGTAATCTTTTAGGGAAGCAGATTACCACATCTTTCTCTTGTGGAGTGGCTGGTGGGTTCCAAGCACTGATCTTTCAGTTAGCAGCACCACGCTTCACGGTCTAAATCTTGTGCTGTTGTAACAGAAAATAGAGCCCAAGTGGGTGGTTTTTAAGTAGAGAAATTTATTTTCTCATAGTTTAGGAGGCTGAAGTCTGGGTTCAGAGCACAGACTCTAGGGAAAGGCTCTCTCTGTTGGCTCTGGGAGAAGCTCCTCGTCTCCTTCAGCTTCTGTAACCCCTGCTTCGGTCAGTTCCTTGGTGATCTTCATGTGCCATCTGTCTCCCTCCACACCCGTTTGTGCTTTCTTCTGTGTTGCATCTGCTCAGAAGCAGGGCTTTGAACTCATTCTTCCCGGTTGATTCATGACTGATGGAGTGACACTAGAGCGAACCAGAATTTGTAAAATGTGGGTGTACTGGAGTAATAACTGGAATGGGAAAAATTACCTGTCAGTGCCCTGTTGGAAACTTAATCTGCTTCTTAGAAAATAAGGGCAACATGCACATTGCATAGCAACCAAATCTATTGACCCATAGAGGCAGAAACAAATGTGTCTGGCTCAAAGATGGTGGCCACCTGTGCTGCTTTGAATATGTGTCGTGCCCCACGCTCCTTGCAATGATTTAGTTTTCAAATCAGTCTCCCGAAAGGACTCCGAGCCCTCTTCCCACTCTCCCATTCTATTGTTCTGCTTAACCCAAATTTTACAAATGTGGGTGTGTTCTGACTTTGCTTCACTGGCCATGATTGAACTGGTTTAGAACATACCTTACACTGATAGAGCCTCATTAATAAAACCAAAGAAAACCACATTCCCAGGTAGAATTACATCCACAGATATAGGGGTTAGGATTCTAACACATATTTTGGGGGACACAGTTTTATCCATAACATGCACACACACACACACACACAGACACATTTTTGGGAAGATTATTTCCAGCCAGGTAACTTTTATTCACCTGGGATGAGTCCTCTTGGTTGTGGGAATGGTAGGAGAAAGGAAGTTAGACAGGGGAGGAATGGAGTCTTGTATTCGGCCAGATCCTTTAGGGTGAATGCAGGATGAGGTGAGGCTGGAGACAGAGTCAACTGGTTGTGGTGGTCTGGGGAAGGCCATGGACAGTGGAGTGGGGATGGAATGAGGTTTAAGATGGGGGTGGAGTCAGCAGGCTTGGTAGCCTTTGGATGTAATAATGGAGGCAGAAAGAGGAGGTCACAGGTCTGGGAGGAGATACCAGGTTGGGTTTGGCTTGTGTTGAGCATGAGGGACCTGTGGAACATCCGGGTGGAGGTGGCCCAGAGCAGATGGATTCCTGGATCTGGCATGCCAGAGAGCCGTCAAGGCTGGAGGTTAAGGAGATCCTAGGGCAGAGATGGCTGTGAAGTTGTGGAGTGGGTGAGGTCTTCCAGGGCATACAATTGGAAGGAGAGAATGAGCAGGAAGGAGCCTAGATAGGTGCTGAGGAGTCTGAGGGAGACTAAAACTGAGGCAAGGAGCTGCCAGAGGAGGAACCATTTTGGAAGAAGGACGTTGAAGTCAGTGGATGATAAGGATGGAAACTGTTGGGGAGTAGGTTGTGGACTCCAGAAGGGCCTCTTAGGGGCAGAGAAGAGGTGAAGCAGCAAGTATGGCTGAGGATTGTGGGTGGAACTGGTCAAGGTCTCCAGCTGGATCAGAGGCTCTGCTGCCCTCCCCCCTTAGCACCATCTCCCTGGGCCCCAGGCAGCATTCCCCTGCCTCCCCCTAGAAGCCCTGGTCCCCACTTCTCCTGCAGCCTACCCTCTCAGAAGTGCTGACAGGATCTGTACCAGTTTCTGGTGATGTGGGGGGCTTCTTGGAACCACCCCTACTTTCAGCTCATGTACCGTGACCAGCAGCATGTGATCATCTGTTTTGGTCATGAATGAGAAATCGGGGCTCTGGGGTAAGACTCGGGTGTGGACGATGGACTGAAAGTCACAGCTGGCCACCAGGGCTGCTGGTTCCTGGCCTCCCATATTCCCACGCCTGTGCCACAGCAGAGTCTGTGTGTGACAGACTCATCCTATGCACATGGGCCTGTGGTGGCGGTGCTGCTTTGTTTGTGGTCAGACATTGTGAAGACTGGTGTCACCTGCCATGAAAGTTAGAGTGTTTTAGAGCCACTGGCTTCCTGAGGTTTCAAAGTGGGGACTGCATGGGTTGAGGGTGGGTTGTATTCACCATATGAATGTGCCCTGAATTTAGTCCAGCCAAGAGTGGTCAAGTGTGCACACTTCAGTTATGCCATGTTGGGTCTGGAAAGCTCTGGGGCAGGCTGCCAGACAGTGCAGTGGCATCAACAGGAAGGACTCCCTGCAGGAGATCCGAGACCCTGGAGCAGATAGGAGCTGACTTTGGAAGCACATGTGTGAGGCTTTGGGTGCGTCTTCCCCCAGCTGGACTTGTTTTCCTGTAGCTAAAAGGAGGGGAGAGTCCCTGGGTAGCACAAATGGTTAAGCACTTGACTAGTAACCAAAAGGTTGGAGGTTCAAGGCCACCCAGAGGGGTCTTGAAGAAAGGCCTGGCAAACTACTTCTGAAAGATCACAGCCTTGAAAAACCTGTGGAGTGCAGTTCTTCTCTGACACATAGGGGTCACCATGAGTTGGAACCAACTCAGTGGTAATTAACAACAACAAATGGAGGGGATTGGCCTGGTCTTAGTTGCCCCAAGTAGGCTGAGTAATGACATCAATAGACGTCCATTCGTTTAGGTACATAAATGCATCCCTGGAACCCCAGCTGTGGTCCAGCCGGAGCAGGGAACCAGCTGGATGCCTCAGGTGGACCCCAGGAGGCTGGGGCCGTAGCTGTTCCCTGGAAATGTCCTCAGCTGAGCTGGAGCTCCTGGGTCCCCATGGCCAAGCCCCTCAGGAATGACTGCCAGGACCTGAGTCAGAGGCCTGACGGTGAAAGAAACCAGACTCGCCTTATCTGCTTTCCTTTCCCAGACACACTGTGTGATAAGAGAGTTAAATGCTTTGGGGAGAAGTTTGAATTGAGTCCTTTAAAACTGTGGTGTGAGTGGAGGAGGCCGGGCTGCTGTGTTAAATGTTTCAGGACTCAGTGCCAGACCTACATGGGCATAGCGTGGGCTCCTGTGTCCACAGATAGGCCCACGTGGGGTCAGGCAGCACAAGGGAGACTGGAAGTACTGTTCCTTTTCCTCATAAGAAATGTTTGAAAACTTCCCCGTGAGAGGGTCCATCTCCTGGAATTCCTGAAATCAGACTTTCTCATTCCCGCCACCCTCTCTGGTGTCTCCAGGCCTGGCCTCCTTCAATGGGAACCTCCTCCCTTGATAAAACAAAGCCCAGATGGGAATCTTTAGGGTACTAGAGCCAGCTCCAGACGGGACCTGTCGCCATCCCGGGCTCTCTAGTGATTTCTCTCCAACCCCAGCACACAGAGGCACCTTTCTGTTTCCCATCCCGGGGCTGAGGCAGGCTGCCCTATACCAGTGGAAATCTGTAGGCCATGGGGAGAATATAACAGAGCCCCCAAAGGTGGCCTTGGGGCCTGAGAGAAGTACTCCAGCTCAGGCCAGCCTGCCTGGTTTCTTGGTTTAAGTGCTCCGTGTTCTGGAAAGTCTAGGTCTAGTTGGGGGAGTCACTCCTTTTTCTCCCCCTCATTTGGCTAAGATAGGTCCAAGGGCAGCCAGGGCCCATCCAATATCCAGGTATGTCTTGAGCTGTCTTCTCTACCCTCTGAAAGGCCACAGAGCTTGGTGGATAGAGTCCTGGGTTGGGGTAGGAGACTTGAGCCCCAAACAGCCTTTAGCTGTCGTCTTATTCTAGGGAATCCCCCATCTGTGTGGTAATAGGTTGGAGGGTGGTCTCTGAGTAGCCTTTGCTGCTTTGCCAGTCATGGGCCTGGGCATTGACAAAGCCCCTTTTCCTGGTTGAGGAGTGAGTGATCCTAGTGTCAGGGGCAGGAGAAATGAAGGACAGGGGCACCCAGGTCAGACGCGGTATCCCAGCTGTAGTCTGCTTTCCTAGCCTGAGCTATCCCCAGCTTCTTCCCACCTTCCTTTTGCTAGATACCCGTTGGCAGGAATCTGGCTGGTCCAGAACCTATTTCCAGTCTGGTTGTGGTGTCTGGTTCCCTGGGGCATCATGGAGGCTAGGGGCTTTGTGACATGCAAGGACAGGCATCTGTGGGGGCTTGCCATAGACCCACATTCCTGAGAAAATGGTTTCACCATCAGTCTGTCCCTCCAGGCCCCTGTTTGGGCCTGTAGAACCTGTCAGATGAGAGCAGGGTGGGTGGGGGGACACAGAAGACCCCAGAGTAGAGATGGCCCTGGTGACAGGTGGGGCTGGGGTTTGGGATGAGCTGGTTGATTTTCCTCCCTGTGCTGAGTTGGCATCAAGTTAGCCACAGTGTGACACCAGGGATGCCCTCCCCTTCTGGGGTGCTGGCAGGTGCCCCACACCCTTCTCACTATTCCTGTAGATAGGCCTGGCCCCTTTCCCTCTATCCTGAGTGAGAAGTTGAAGGGTCTCCATCTTCTCTGAGGCCAGGCTCTCCTCAGGCTCTGGGACCCATCCCCTCCCGCTTCCCTAGAGATCCCACCCTACTGATGGTTTCTCTACCCTGCTAGAGTCCTCTTGCGTCCGGAAAACCCCCTCAAATCCCTTTCTTCCACCCCCTGTCTCCTCAGAGCTAGGGTGACTCAGTCTTGTCTAGATCCAGTGGCACCTCCTTTCTCCCTGACTTCTCCCCGAGTTTGTCTCCTGCCCCTACCATACCTTTGACTTAGTCCTGTGGCTGTCAGCAGTACCTCTGCTAAACCCAGTGGATGCTTTTTACATCTTGACCTGCCTTGCCTGGATCTCTGGCCACTCTGGATGCTGCCAATGCATCTGCCATCTTGATAGAATTTCTCCCCTGACATTCTTGACATTCCTCTGATTTTCTCCCTGACTCTCTGGCTGCCCCTTCTCATTTCCCCTGCAGATGCCTCTCCATTCCCTGTTCCTTAAATGTGAGGTCTCCGCAGTGTCTCAGCCCAAGCCCCAAGTTAGTCCCAAGCCAGTACTTCACCTGCTGGGCTTGGGAGCCAGCTGGACACCATGACTCTCGTGGTTCCATCATTCATCCCTGCCTTCTTCTTAAACTTCAGACTCAAATATCTAATTAACTCCTTACCTCAGCTCTGAGATGACCCAGGGGACCTTCGTCTCATTATATCCAACACAGAAATCCTTGTTTTCCCCACAGAACTCACTTCTGCCCTCCACCCCACAGTTACTTGGGGCTTGGCAAGGGCTGGCCATTCTCCCCTCCCTCCACATCCATTTGCTGTCACTGCTGGGTTCGTTTTTCTTCAGATCCTCTTAAGTCCTTCTTGCCCTTGGCCTTTCCACTGCTCCATGTCCCATCCCAGGTCCCAAGACAGATGAGGTGATTAGCCATCTGGTCTCCCCCTTTCATGCCACTCTCTTGCTGGATTCTGAAGGAGGTATCAGAAACACAGAGTTGATGATCTTCATCTACTTCTTGTCCAAGGAGTCAAGTCCAAGTTCTCAGGACTGGTACCTTGACCTGCTGGTCAATGTGTTTCCAGCTATAGGCTGCCCACCACTCTTGTCCCGTTGTCCCAATTTTGTGTGATCAGAAGGCCTTGTGCCCTGGTGTTTCTGCTTTTGCTGGGAATGGCCTCCCCTCCTCATCTACCTGGTTGATACCAGACTTGGCTTAATTAGGCACTGCTGACCCACCTGGGCTGCATACAGTCTACCTGGGGCACCCTCATGCTGACTTGGTGCCAGCCTGGCTCCCCCACCAGACTAACTTTTTCCACGGCAAGGTGGATTTTCTTGTGTTGGTTACAACAGGAGCTGCACATCTGGGGTCAAGGGCAGGCTGTTGTATGTCTAGGAACCTTGTGGATAAGGGGGCCACCTAGAAGTATGTAGGGAGAAGTATGGCCAATCTCTTACACCACTCACCAGGGGGTCTCCGTCACAGCCTGGGATAGGGGTATACCTTTGTGCCCGCTTACCAGGTGGACCTGCCAGCCTCACAGACACTCTGAGCCCCCGTACCTGTCTCATTGTGAGGAGAGCAGGACCAAGGTACAGGAGAACTTCTACCCTGGCCACAAACCCAGCTGTTTCTCACCATTTGGTATAACCTTGGGCAGCACATATCCCCTCTGCGCCTTCGGGTTCCGTCTGTACAAATGGGGCTGGTAGCAACTACTTGGAGGACAGAGACAAGTTGTTCTGTGTGGTATGCCTAGGATAAGGGGCTGACACTTGGTAGATACTCAAGTGGCACTTACATGGTCTGTACCCATTCCTCAAACAGGAAAGCTGGGCCCCAGAGGGACAGTGGGTTGGTGGCATGACCAGGATAACTTTTCAATAACTCTATTGGCTCATGGTCTTGTTCTCTCAATAGGCTACCCTATTGGCTCATGGTCTTGTTCTCTCTATTCCCCACCCACCCCCACCTACTGCTGCAGTGGCCTCTTAGGCCCAGAATGGGGACTGTGTGAATTCCATGGGTAGACGGGGTCGGCATGGAGCCAATCAGGCCCCTGACTCTAAATATCCGGGTGTAAATCTTGACCTCCTTTATCCACTGGTGTGAGGAGGGACCTTTGCCCACCATGGGCCCCAAAAGACCTTGTGTCATTGGGTACTTGGTGCTCCCACATAGGCAGCCACACCAGCCTGACCCAGCTAGGATGGGCAGAGTGTAGGGCTCCTCCCGCTCCTGGCCTCCAGTCACCAGGTTCAGCCTGGGGGAGGGGGTAGAACAGCCTGGCACACTGCTGGGGAGCCCTCAGCCTTGGCCTTTGTTGCTAACATTTTTGGGCTCTGGGTTGAGCCAAGCAGGAGGCTTGCCTGGCAGGATCCTGGGGGCTCAGCAGCTGAAGCTGGGTCTGCCCTAGCTTGCTGTGTGACCTTACCCCAGCACTATACTCCCCTGAGGCTATTATCTCATCTCTGCTAGAACCAGGAGGGGCTTTGGAGAATGATTTTGAGGTTGACCAGGACCTCAGTAGCGTCTGTGTCTCTGTAGAGTGTGGATCATGACGAATCCAGTGAGTCGGAAGTGAGAAGGACCTCAAACTCGTGCATCGTCGAGAATGGCCACCAGCCAGGGGCAGGTAGAGGCCAAGGGTACAAGGTGGGGTGTGGCTGGGTAGGTTTGGGCCTCAGGGCCTTAGCCCTGCATCTGTGCCAGGCCATCCCTTGACTGTAACCCTGAAGGGCAGAGAGGCTGCCACGAGAACAGTCCCATTCAGGGTGAAGCAGACCTTTTTAGACACAGGGGAAGTGGGAAGCCTTGGAAGGGGATGAGCTTTCCCGTTCCGGAAAGAATGCAAGCAGGGCTGGGGAACTGCCCAAGCCCTGACGAGGGTAGGGAGTAGACTGACGAGCCAGTTGGTATTTATTGACTTTGGCTGCCATGGGAAGTTGGAGAAGACATCAGCTATGGTTGGAACAGCAAGGTATCCCCAGAAGGGGCGGTCAGGGAGGCCAGAGTAGTCAGGGAGGCCTCCCTGGAGGAGGTGGGAAGGGGGTTCAGGGCGGCTGGAGCCCTCCTGGGGTGTTCTGAAGCCCTGATGGATGCCATGGCTGACCCTTCCTCCCTGCTGGTCAATGTTCCAGGTCCAGGTGATGGACCCCCTGAAGCTGTCCAGACCTTCCCGGCACCAGAGCCCCCCAAGCCTCGCCCCGTGAGCCTTTCCTTACGGCTGCCCCACCAGCCAGTCACTGCTGTCACCCGAGTCTCCGAGAGATTCTCTGGGGAGACCTCATCTCTGTCACCCACGTCTGCTGCTGTCCTGGGGGGCCTCACCCCGAGTCCTAGTGAAGTCACCACACCCTGGACCCCCAGCCCAAGTGGTACGAGAGGAGAGTACATATGGGGGACAGACTCACCTTGGAGTCTGGTGGGGGGAGCAGCCTGGGTGGAAGAGAGTTGGAGACTCAGGAAACTCTGGCCTCACCTGTGACTGTTCCCATGACTATAGCCTGCTTGCTGTATCAAAGGGGGCCCACCCTTCCCAACGCCCTGCCCAGAGGCACTGTGAAAAAGCTTCATCCCACAGGGGAGATGACAGTGGATTTTGTGACAGGTCCAAGCATGGTTAGAAGGTAGCCTCTTGCCCTGCACACCGTGACACAGCTCCCGCCTCTAGGGCCCTCCAGACCTGCTCTTGGACCTGTGGTCTGACCTCAGAGGTGCATCCTGGGGTGGGGCTCTTGGGCTTCCAGCTTAGCCCAGGCTACCTGCCTGTCCGTGGGGCTAATGCTGGGTGGATGAGGTGGGCCAGGTCATAGGAGGCTGGGCTGGCCCTCCCTGAGACCAGGGATTGCTCTTTCTGTCCCTCCCATTGTCCTGCAGAGAAGAATTCCACTTTCACTTGGTCATTGTCAGGTTCTGGCTATGGGGCAGTGACGGCCAGCAAGGGCAACGACAGGTGAGTCTGGCTTCTTGATCTTTGACCCATGTCCCATTGGGGTCGTTGTTCCCCAGGTGGCTTCTCTGCTGGGCCTTGGACCCCTTGGGGAGCTCCCTATGCTGATTCCAGGAGTTGGCACCCTTCTTGGGTTGGGGCCTCCATGGGGGGCCCTGGGGCTGGGCATTTAGAGAACTCAGGCAGCAGGGTTAGTGGGCAGGGTTTGAGCAGGGAAATGAGACAGTGGGAATTGGTGTAGAGTTTTGCTTGGAGAAGTAAGGCTACAGGTTGTTTTCTCTATGGGACCCTTCAAAGAAAGCCTGTCAGAAGATTGGAGGGAGGAAGTGGAATAGGAGGGTTCCCACTTTGTTCCTGCTCCATCTCAGCTGGCTGAGGGCCCTCAGAAGCTGGGGTCCTTCCTGCCTGAAGACAGATAGGATGGGGCTACCTGGAGAAACCACAGGGCTGGGGCAGGTCAGCAAGAGGTTCCCTGTGACACAGGCCTCTTTGCTGGCCTGTGGTGTCTGCCTGCTCCCCTAGGCCAGCTGGACTATGCTGATAGTGGTGGAGTAGTTTGGCTTTTTTTTTTCTTTTAATAAAAGAAGAATTGTGACCTTCTGGCACACTTCTCCCCAGGGGAGAACAAAAGGGGTCTTATGTAATAGGAGTGAAAGAGGGAGGCCTAGCTCTGGTGGGGCTGGCTCTGGGTACACCTGCTGCCCGGGGAGAGGGTGCCCCCTCCCTGGGAAGGGTGCCTCCTGCTTACTCCAGGCATTGATGCCTACCTAGGGGTGATTACGCCCAGAGAGAGGCCCACTCCCCAATCCCTAAGAGGGACCTGTTCTTTGGGACAGTCAGCTCAGTTCAGAAAACCTGCCAAACGGGTTGGAGACTGGACCCAGTGGTGTTTCCTTTCTGAAGGTCATTGTGACGCACCCCACCCCCAATCATGGATGTGGCCCCATCTGCCTCATTTCAAATACTTGCTGTTCAGTGAGGTGGCTTGGGCAGTGTGGCCAAGCGTTTGAGGGGGGAGGCCCTTGGGCCTATGTGAGTTGGCCAAGGCTGGATCTATGTTCCTGATGAAGTGGTTCTCTCCTCAGTCCCCCTCTGGTGACACCACCCCAGTCACCCCCATCCTCACAGCCGCCGGCCACGACTCCGGCCCATCGCCAAGGGGAGCGTCGCAGGGAGCTGGTGAGGTCACAGACGCTGCCCCGCACCTCGGGGGCACAGGCCCGGAAGGCATTGTTTGAGAAGTGGGAGCAAGATACAGCGGGCAAGTACGGATGCACATCCCCAGACCTGGCCTAGAACCCCCAGAGTAGGCCCAGACATAGACTGGAGTCAGACAGAATCAGCATAGCAAGGCTGGGCCCTGTCCTCTTCCAAAGGGCCGATTCCCCATGCCTTGGCCTCTTAGGCAAGATATAAGACCAGGGTTGGCCACAGGGTGAGTTGGAGGACAAGTAGCCCCAGCTGTGGGAGAAGAGAGAGGGCTATGGGGCAGGGAACCAGGCAAGGCCTGTATCTCCTTTAGTTCTGGGCCTGACAGGGGAGGTCAGATAGCAGCCAGTTGGCACTCTTGGCTAGAGCTGGGACTTGCCCACGGCCTGAGGCGGTGACTTCTCCTGTGCCCTCTGGCCCAACCCCCTGCCTCAAGCCCTACCACTAGAGGTCGGGGCCTTGGGCTGTAGCCTGCCTTTGCGTATGTACCAGCCTCCTGTCAGTGTGAAGCATCGATACCTGCTGTGCAGGGGGTCCAGGCCCAGGCTCGGTGTGATGACGAAGACAGTCCAGCTAGTCCCTGCCCCCAAGCGCTTATTCTAGTGAGGGAGACAATCTGGGACTGTCTGCACCGACCCCAAATGACTTTATCTCAGGCCTTAGGGAGTATCCTTGGGGGTCTACAGGAGGAAACATGCGGCTGGGAAAGCACTATTGCGGAAGGAGGTCTTATGAGTGAGGCTCTTTAAGAGGATGGGTGAAGGAGGAGGCCAAGGGTAGGATTAAGGGAAGGGGGACACGGGGTTGGGGGAGTGGGATGAAGGAAAGAGGACAGGTGTCCCAACAGAGAGGACAACTTCAACAGTGGCATAAGGCCATGCTGGCTCAGGCCCTCTGTCCCGGGATTTCCAGATGACCCTTCATTCCTGGTGTGGGACCTAAATTGCAGTGGAGGGTCCTGGTGGATACCATCAAAGGAGACTGTGTGCTGGTGAGGATTAAGCTATGGTGACTGTACTGGTAGGGAGCTGTGGGCTGACAGTGTCTCCCCCTAGTCAACAGAACAGGGGCATCTTCCTGGTGGTGCAAGATGCCCGTGGTCAGACGAGGGCTCCCTGCCTCTTGAGGCGATAGAGCCGGAGCGGCCACCCCAGCAGGCTTGCATCTGTTTGCAGGGGGAAAGGTGAGACACGGGCAAAACTGAAGCGCTCACAGAGCTTTGGTGTGGCCAGCGCCAGTAGCATTAAGCAGCTCCTGCTTGAGTGGTGCCGCAACAAGACTCTTGGCTACAAGGTGAGCCCGGGACCTGCGTCTGCCACTGGACCCCCATGGCCAGAGGCTTGACCAGGTGTTACCCCTGCCCTTGCTCCCCTGGCCAGGGCAAGAATCCCAGAGATGGGGGGAAGGGGTAGGAGCTAGAGAGAATGAGCCTTCGAGTGGGTATTGAGCCATCTCAGAGTGTACATGGAAGTCCCAGGACCCCTTATTTAGGCCTGAGCAGGTTAGTCTAGTGCACCTGGTGGGGCAGTGGCTTTCTGCTCAGGTGGGTGGGTGGTAGGTCTTGGGAGGGGCTGGGAGCATCTGCTGATGGAAGCCTGTTGAGTTGGAGGAACTGGGGTGGGAGATATTCTCGGGGACCTACTTGGCACCCCCACCACTGATGCTGCCTTGCCCACAGCACGTAGACCTGCAGAACTTCTCCTCCAGCTGGAGTGATGGAATGGCTTTCTGTGCCCTGGTGCACTCCTTCTTCCCCGATGCCTTCGACTACAATGCACTGAGCCCCACGCAGCGGCAGAAGAACTTTGAGTTGGCCTTCACTATGGCTGAGTGAGTACGCTGGGCCCTGATAACCACGGCGCCCAGCCATAGCTGATCATGGGGGTGGTACGGGACTACAGAGTGTTTTGTTCCATTGTGCATGGGGTCACCATGAGTTGGGGGCTGACTTGACATCAGCTAGCAACAACAAATACTGTTACACTGTTTAATATGAAATTGCCTACCTTCTTAAGTCCCACTTATAGAAAGTAGGTTGGGGAGGGTTATGGGATCAGGAGGTTCTTGGGAAGCCAGTTTGGAATTAGGGTATTGGCTGAGGGCACCCCCCCCAAGAGCAGATCATTGGCAAAGCAGGGTCTACCAGTTAGGGTCTGGCAGGGAACAAGTGGAACATTCAAACTGTGTGCTTAAATGTTTAATAAAGGACAATTTATAAAGGATGGACAGGAATGAGGGAATCTAGCAAGCCACGTGTAGCACCCTCGGGCTAACAACGCTGGGAGCTGTTACCAGCCCTAGGCCGCCATTATGGGGACTGGGAAGAGCTGCTGCCCACCGCTGTCTGCCGGGAGCTGTGCTAGTGGGAAATGCTGCAGCCACTCACAGTGAGTGATCTGGCAGGGAGGAGTGGGAAGGCACACCCTCACCTCACTCCCCTGCCCTCATGCCAGTGTTCCTGGTTGGCTGCACCCAATCAGAAGACACAGGGTCTGGGATCCCATTGCTGGGACCTTGGCCTCCTGAGGCAAGAACAGGGTGGTGGTGAGTGCTGCTGAGGGCTACTTAATGCTGAGCTCTCTGGATGGTGTTAAAGGTCAGGGACAAGGAGGCCCTCCCCAAAGCAGTTTCCTAGAGGCAATATTTGTCATCCTCTCCTCCCTCCTGCCTTGGTGCCTTGTGTTGTTAGCCTCTGTGGAGCTGTCTTCCACTGACTTTTTTTTTCCCTTCACTTTTTATTGTGATTTGGGTGAAAGTTTACAGAGCAAATTCATTTTTCCTACAGGAGTTGATACACATATTGTTTTGTGATACTGACTGCAGGTCCCCACAGCTCTCTTCTCACTTCCTCCCCCTATAGTTACCTCTTCCCTGTGTCCACTCCTGCCCTCCTCCCTAAGCTATCTCCTTGTGCAAACACTGCCCTTCCATTCTCCCACGATTTATCCTCCAAGGAATGTATCTACTTGATATAAATGTTCCCCCTGTTTGTCTGTCTACTGTTTGGCCAGAAGCCACAGGAGTGAGTGGTCCCAGACCTGAAGGATAGTTACCTTCAAGTAACTATGTAACTATGTAACTTCTCAGGGATCTCACCAGACATTAGACTAGCAAATCTGGTCTTTTTTTAAATTTTTAATGTTTATGATTTTGAGTTTTGTTCCACATTGTTCTCCCGTTCTATCCAGGATCTCTCGTACCAGTCCTCCTCCAAGTGGTTGACAGTGGTAGCCGGGGACCACCTAGTTCTTCTGGTCTCATGATCATATAGGTTGAGGATCACATGGTCTCCTAGTCCCTTGGACTAATTGTTTTCATACATCTTTGGTTTTCTTCATGTTTCCTTGCTCTGGATGAGGAGAGACCCATTGTTGCATCTGGATGGTCGCTTGCAGGCTTTTAAGATGCCAGTCACTACTCACCAAAGTAGGATGTAAAACGATTTTTTGCGTAGTATGTTATACCAGTTGAACTTGATGTTCCCTGTGACCATGGTCCTGAGCTTACAGGTCTAACTACTTGCTCCCTCAGGGTAGTTTGCTGTGGCCAAGAAACCACTACAACCTCCCCCTTTGTCATCTCTACTATACACAAGGACATCCTTATATCACATACAAATATGCTTGTAGAAGCATCATCTGCCAACCCTATGCATGGTCATGGGCACCCTCCCCCTGCCTCGACATACCTAATCATTCAGCCTGTCCACCCATAGATCATTGCTTGCCATCATTGACATCTGTTTGTTTCTTGTCTGGGTCCACAGTGCCCTCATCCATAAGATGGTGCTTACCTGCCGCTTGAGGGAAAGAGCCCTAACTCTGGGGCTTACCTGCACCCCCCAGCCCCCGCCCTCCATGCCGGGCCCTGAGCCTGACCAGGGAAGGAGGCAGAGCCAGCAGGTTGTGAGACATTTCATAACTTAAGTCTGGCCCCGAGCAGGGGCGGCTGCTCCTCTCTGGAGTGGCAACTCTAGTTCTGGGGGCAGGATCGAGACGTTGGCTCTGAGCTCCCCAGACTGAGTTTTTGCCCCTGTTGGCTTGTTTCGGATGACGTGCTCGGCTTCTCAGCTCTCTTGGGGTCATAAGAACTCCTTGTATACTTTAAAAGCCTTCTCTTTCTTGGCTGCTTGGGATTAGCTGTCATCCTAATCGCAGAAACAGCTTTGAGTGGAGTGTGTTAAGCAGCTGGATCCTGACTGCGGAGAAGTGGAGCCAAGGGGAACGGGGCAATGTTGGGGAGGGGGTGGTCACAAGAAGGAGGCCCAGCTGCTGGAAGACAGGCATGGCAACTGTCAGAATCAGACCTCTAGGGTACACGGGGCTGGGACTCTGACATGGGCACCCCGTACCCGCCCCAGCCCGGGGAGGCCACACTGCTCACAGAGTGCTGTACAGTATAGGCCCAGCAGGCCAAGTGGTGCCACCCTTAGCCCTGGATCCGGGGCCATGACAGGGAGAGTGAGGCCCTGGGCGCTGGGGTGGTGGCTCTGCTCCCCATCTCACAGGGAACACAGCTTCCCTTGGCAGCTGGAGCTGGTGTGATTCAAGGCTGCGTTTTCCCAGCACGAGGTTTGAGTGCACGGAGCCTCCACACTCCAAACAGATGTTTCTTCTATTCCTAACCTGGGGGGGGGGGGGTGGAGGCTGGTCCAGGTTTTGCCTCCCTCCTCCCAGAGCAAACAGCGGGGAAGAAACCCTGCCCTACCTCCCTGTGGCCTGAGCCTGCTCCCAGCTGGGGAAGGGAGGATGGTTGCTGACATTTCTTGCTTTTATGCTGACTCAGGGGGGCAGGGGTCCGGAGCAGGCCTGGGGTAGGGGGAGGTGCTTGCTTAGAATCTGGGAAGGTGCCTCACCTCATGAGTCATATATGCCTTTATCTTGATGGTTGGTGGGGGAGAGGACTGGGGGACGGCCTTGCCTGCCTGGGGCCTCTCGGGAGGCAGTAGCTTGAATCATCTCATTTCTTGGACAAAAGAGGATGGTTAGGAAAGCTAGAAAGAGAGCACAGAGACACCTGCTTGTGGATCCTGGTTATTAGCATCTTAGGTATTTCTTAGGCTTGCCAGCAAAAGCAAAGCAGACGTGTGGTGCTGTTGGAACCTACCAGGAGCCACGCAGGCAGCCGAGCAGAGCTGAGAAAGGCAGTTTGGGGTTGTGGGATGAGAGGAGCCTGGGGTCTGATGAAGGCATACCTTTTGGAAGGAAAAGGTACAGGCTGGGCTCCTAAACCTTGCATGGGTTCACCTCGCATCCAGAAGGAAACCTTTCAAGAGCCTTCTGTGCATGATTGCGGTAAAAGCACAAAGATGTGCCAGAAACCTGCGGGTAAAGTGCTTTATGCTCCCCTCCCCGCAGTGCTTTACGGCCCTGAAGAGTCCCTCTGGCACAGTCTGCGTGAGCGATGCAGTGTTGGCGGCAAGCGCACCTCCCTCACTGCTGACAGGTGCTCCTGCCCGGAAGGCAGGAGGCCCCGCCCCCTTTATGGAAGGGGCTGGAGCCGGCGCTTGACCCCCTGCACCCTCCTCTGCACATCTTGCCCAGGGCCCAGGCCAGCCAGCCAGAGTGGGGCCTGAGGCTCCCCGCTTGCCCTGTGGGGAATGTATCCTGCTCTCAGGTTACGGGCTCTGCTGCGGCCTTCCAAGCTATTTGTAGTGCCCATGTGTCTCTGTCTAAAACCAGACGGAGGCTGTATTCCAAGCCCTGGCATCCCAATCTGTATTTAGAGAAGTCTTAAAAAAATAAAAATAACAGCCCCCCCCCAACACCTCCTCCTTTATGGGCCAATCCTGTAGTAGCTAAAGATCACAACATAGGGGAGTAGGAGAAAACCCTTGAACCCCAAGGGGAAACTTCAGGAGATTCATGTAAAGAAAAAAATGGTAGCTAGCAAATGTTAACCCTGGTGTTTGCTGTGCTATGGTATTTGAAGCTCTTTGTACTTTCTTCTTGGGACTTTTCCATGTTGTTTGGATTATTTAAAATAAATTTGTATCAATTGTACAAAAGCAGTTGAAAAAAATGACAATCGGGACCTCTAATAATCTTGAGGCTTAAATATTGTTATAAAAGTTAATGTTGACACTCATTTTCCTTTTCTCCAATTCTGTCCTCCTGGGGTTAGTTCATCCTGTGTCTGCAGCTTCCAGGAATCTTGTCTGGGCTGTTGTCACTGGCCCCAGAGTGTCTCTGAGGGAGCATGCTTTCTTTGCAGGAAAAAGCCACTGTGATTGTCTGGGGTAGAAGGCCAGGATCCCTGAGGGTCCAAGTGGGGGCAATACCTTGATCTCAGAGAGAGGGGAGCTGCTGTCTGTGTTGGAGGGAGACTCTGGCTGACAACCGTGGGGATCACAGCAGTCCAATCTGCAGCCTGTCATCGGGAATGGCACAGGACTAGGCAGCGTTTCGTTCGGTTCTGCATGGGGCCACCATGACAGCTTGGTGACAGCTGACAGGACAATGGGAGCAGAGGGCGAGGGGCAGAGGTGGCACTGGGGGAGAAAGAGGGAGCTGGAGGATGGTGGGAAGCTGCATCCTGTATCCCCTCCTCCTCAATAACCTCCACATCTGACTGCTCAATGCAGACATGATAATGGGAGTGGGTATGCCAAACCCGGGAAACTAGAGCCCTCTTCAGAAGCACTACCAGTTGCCATGGGCGGTAGCTCTGTCTCATGACAACCCCATGTTCATCAGAGTAGAACTGTGCTCCATAGGGTTTATAATGGCTCATTTTGGGGTGAGTGGTGGCCCAGTCCCCTGGTTACTTCCTGTCTGGGTAGAAAAAGGTGACAGCCAGGTAGGGCCTTACTTCCTGTCCTGACTGCCATC